ATTACCGGAAATTCTGCTTTTGGGTCTCAAAATGGAAGAAGTGAACATATCTAAAAAGACTTTGCTCTGGTACTTAATAACAACAGCTAGAATGACTTATGCGCAATACTGGAAATTGGATAAAGTACCAGAAATTGAAGATTGGATACAAAAAGTTCTGTTCATGGCAGAAATGGATAAAATCACAAGAAAATTAAACAACAAAGAAGATGAAGAGTTCATGGAAGAATGGAAGGACTTCAAAATCTACCTGGAAAAGAACTGGGATGTAAAGCAAAATTTACTATGTTTAGAACAATATTAATATAACTGTATGTTATCTAGGGATACTAATGTTTAAGAACAATGAGAATACTGAAGATGGTGTTGCAACATGGGGGGAAAGGGAGAGGTCATTGCGGGAAGTCAGGAGGGTAGGGGAGTGAATTGGGAACAATGTAATTAATGACTGACGATTTTTAACGGATGTAATGATTTCCCAAGGAAAAATAAAAAATTTTGTTTACCGAAAAAAGGACTTAGCTGTAACTAACATCCTATTGGTTGTAATAGGTGTTAGTAATATAGTTGCCAACATCCAGGTGAGGCCTGGAGATCTCCAAGTATTACAACTGATCTCCATACTAGAGAGATCAGTTCCATTGGAGAAAATGGCTGCTTTGGAGGGTGGATTCCATGGGATTGTACCCTGCTAAGGTCCCTCCCCTCCCCAAACTTTCCAGGCTCCAGCCCCAAAATCTCTAAGTATTCCCCAACCTAGAGCTGGCAACCCTAGTTCTCGATTGGTTTTTCTTAGATTTGGCCCAATAGCTATTGAGTTGCTAGTTTTGAACTGCTTGCATGAACATTTCTGTGTGTAGTCTGGATGATGGGAAAGACTAGACACAGATTGAAGAAGAAGAGAAGAAGAAGAGATTGGATTTATACCCCACCCTTCACTGCCCAAAGGAGTCTCAGAGCGGCTTACAATCCCTTCCGCTCCCCACAACAGACACTCTGTGAGGTCAATGGGGCTGAGAGAGCTCTTTCAAGAACTGTCCTTGAGAGAACAGCTCTGAAAGAATTTATGACTGACCCAATGTCACACCAGCAGCTGCATGTGGAGGAGTGGGGAATCAAACCCCATTCTCTCAGATTAGAGTCTATGCTCCTAACCACTACACCAAACTCAAGATTTCTCCAACACTGCAATTTTTGGCTCCATTTAGAGCAATTTGTTAATTTCTGAAAAAGGAAGGACAGTAATCCACAAAGGAGATTAAAGACTGAATATTTAAGGTATTCTTTATCATTTAGGTAGGAAAACGTACAGTTGGTGAACTTATTTTATTTTACTTACAAGTGTTATACCCCATCTTTTTGCCCTCATCAGGGTCACCAAAGCAGCTAACAGATTAAAAATATACATGATGAAAACAAAGTCAAATAAAAGCACATCATTAAGAAGAGAAGAGGCTGGATTTATACCCTGCCCTTCACTACCCAAAGGAGTCTCAGAGTGGCTTACAAACTCCTTTCCCTGCCCCTCCCCACAACAGACACCCTGTGTTAGGTGGGGCTGAGAGAGCTCTGACAGAAACTGCTCTTTTTCAAGAACAGCTGTGCCAGAATGATGGCTTGCCCAAGGTCATCCAGCCAAGTGCAAGTGGAGGAGTGGGGAATCAAACCTGGTTCTCCCAGATTAGAGTCCGCGCACTTAACCACTACACCAAACAATTAAAACCAAATAAAAGCACATCATTAAAACAAATAAAAAACTAAGATATGCATATACAAACAACAATTAAAATGTATGGCAAGAAAGAGGAATCACTGAAAGATTGCCAGACAAAACAAAGTATTGACTTGCTGGCAGAAATATTGCAATAAAGGATAAAATGAAAGAGAGGAGAATGATTTAAACCATTTTGGGGATTCCCACTGGGGAGAAAGTCAGGGTATAAATGAAGATAAATAAATAGACAAATAAACTAGGCAGGCGATTTGAAGAAGGAGTACAGGGAACATCAAATTGAAAACCAGTTGGCTGTGAAACTATGGCCTATCCGCTTCTCAGAATACATTTGTGTCAAAGCACTGGGGTGGGGTGGGAGGCTCATATGATTCGCAGGTGTTTTATCCTCATCTGTAAAAAAATTTACAAGTGTGTATTAATATATCTGAAATGACTGGGTATAACATGCTAGTTGAAGTAGCACATTGCCATGACATAGTTAAGAACTGTCCTAATTCCATTGTAGTAACTCTTACCTCCCCTAAATTTATTTTTTGCTTCTTAACTGAAAAATGACACCCCTAGTACATGACCGAAGTATTAGACGTTGGTTCTAGTACATGACCGAAGTATTAGATGTTGGTGTCAAATAGTAACTGCCAAGACATGTGCCAGCTACAAGCTAAATGCTCACTTTCCATATTTCCAGGGACTGTCCAGTGGTCCAAAGCTATTTATCAGGATAACCTGACCCCTGTGCTTTTAACACGGTTTAGGGTAAATGGTGCGACTTGATGGCACTTTCCACCACCAAGTGGTAAGTGAAGATTTTCAAGGCACGGAGGCCAACTGTCCTCACCTAGTAATTGCTGTCATTCAAACTGCTGTTAAAGGGAACAGCTACAAGGGCCAATTCAAAAGCAGCCAATCCTGAATACAATCCATCAGAGTTCTATCCTTTCCATGGGAGGAATTTCTGTATAACATATTAGGGAATTCCTCCTAAAGCCCTCACCCAGCTCATTCCAAGATAAGCCCAGTTGATCGTAGTAAATCCACTGGTTGCCCATCAGTTACCAGGCTCGATTTAAGGTACTGGCTTTCACATACAAAGTCTTGGTCCCCCATACCTATGCTCTGCCATGGCAGCTTCACTCATCTGAGCAGGCACCAAACTGCAAATGGTTAAAATCAACAATTGCCTATGCATGCGCTTTCTCTCTCCATTGTGGCCTTCGTGGTATGGAATGGCCTGCCTGATGAGGTCAGGAAAGACTCCCTGGTTTTCTGCAAACTGTGCAAAACTGACTTATTAAAGAGAGCTTTCTACAACAAGCTTTTCTACACAGGCAACAGGGCTGCACTGTAATAAGATGGTCCAGAAAGATATTTAGGAAAACTGGTATTTAGGAAAAGGGTTTGGGATTGTAGTCTATACTACTGTGTATAGTCTGTACTGTAACGTGCTGGAGAAGACTCTTGAGAGTCCCTTGGACTGCAAAAAGATCAAATCAGTCAATCCCTGGAAGGCCAGATAATGAAACTGAAGCTCAAATACTTTGGCCACCAAATGAGAAGGGAGCACTCACTGGAGAAGACCCTGATGCTGGGAAAGATTGAAGGTCAAAGAAGATGGGGACGGCAAAGGATAAGATGGTTAGACAGTGTTATCGAGGCAACGAACATGAAATTAAGCAAACTCTGGAGGACGGCGGAAGACAGGAGGGCCTGGCGGGAGCTGGTCCATGGGGTCGCGAAGAGTCGGACTTGACTGTGTGACTGAACAACAACATAGTCTGTGCTGCCTGTTGCTGTAAATAAGATCCTACAATATAATTTTTGGATACATGTTAATGCTTGCTTATGCTTTGCTTCCGTTCTGTTTTCAGATTTATGGTGGGTTCCTGATTTTTACAGTCAAAATCCTATTGCAGTTTATTGGATGATCCATCCTGTTGACTGTATTGATGTACTCTGTGTCCCAGTGAGAAAGGCAGACTGTAAAGGAAATATGAATAAAATAAGAACAGCTGCCTGGAGTTCCATAGGAGAGAGCACTGGAAAATGGCACCCCTCAGCCGCAGTGGTACAGCCCATTCTGCCACTTCAGTAGCCGAGGGCCTAATTCTTCCAGGTATGCAGGTGAGCTCTGAAGAGGTGGTAACCTGGGATGGCTCAGGCAGAATTTTTTTGTTTGTTTAATCTTATGTTTAAAATTTCCCTGAAAGTAGATAGAAAATATAAGCTGGTAAAGATTTCAGTGGGGTGGTGCCTGGGGAGGGACCTCAGCCTAATATAATGCCATAGAGTCCATCTTCTAAAGCAGCCATTTTCTCCAGGGGAGCTGATCTGTGTAGTCTGGAGACCAGCTGTCATTCCAGGAGATCTCCAGGCTGTCATTATCTTCGGTCAGCATATCCAGAAACAGGTCCAAGACCCTGGAGCTGCTGGAGATAGTCACAGTTCTTGGGTTCATAAGCAAAACAAGATAGATTAGCCAGCACTTGCTCCTTGCCTTCAGAACTTTCTGTTACTTGGAATTCTGTAACTAGGGCCTGCAGGTATTCAAGCCGACCGAGTCCTAGCAGATCTTGCTGTTTTGGGGACACGATGCTGGAGGAAAAGGCGGTGCTTCAAAAGGTACATACCATTATAAGATGGCTGAAAAGTTCTAATAGGTTTCTGCTTCATTTTCTTTCAGGATATAGCATCGCAAGCATTTATATGTATCTATACATATACCTTCCTTTCAAGATACCGAACAATTGTGCCATCGGGCCAGGGCTTTTTTGGACCTGGCCCCCACCTGGTGGAACTCTCTGTAGGAGAACATCCAGGCCCTGTGGGATTTGTTACCTTTCCGCAGGGCATGTAAGGCAGAGATGTTCCACCGGGTATTCGGTTGAGGACAGGGATGGTACACACCATGTAGTCTGGCACTATCATGCCCTCCATTCTCTGCGGACCCCCCCCCCCCTTGTGAAATTTCCTCCTTACCTTGGAATGAACTGAATTTTGCTGATATAGGCACTGTATATTTTACTGTAGTTATTTATTGTATGTTCCTTTCTGTTGTAAGCTGCCCTGAGCCCTGCTTGCAGGGAAGGGCGACCTAACAATGTAATCCAACCAATAAAACTTCTCTCCCTGATAGGTTAGTTTTCCCCTGGCAGGGAGTCGCGCCATTCCAGAAGGACGAGACCGTCTTCTTCCATCTCATGACCCTCCTCTTAGGCCTAAGAAGTCAAGTTCTTCCTGCAGCTCCTGCAGCTGCAACTCCACCCCTCCCCAGTCTTGCAAGAGTTAAAGCCGACGTCAGTGGGTGTGGGGCCGAGCCCCCAACCTTCCCACTGGTCTCGGAGACGGCAACGTCTCCCATTTGCCTGCCGGCCTCGGTTTTTTTCCAGCGGCATCGCGCGGAGGGGGCAGGGCATCAGCCTTCACCAGCGCCGCCGCCGCCTGCTTCAGTCCCTGCCTGGCTTCGCACGCTGCAAAAAGCTCGAAGATGGCGGCCCAGAGTCTCCTCTCCCGGCTCAGCCGGTGCCTTCCCGTCGCCTCCAGCTGGGGCTCCCGCAACGGGACCGTGCAGCTCTTGCTCAGAGCCCAGGCGAAGGTAAGGAGCGGCGCGCAAAGCTCCAGGCCTCGCGTCGGCTTGGAGGGCTCCGTGGAGCGCGATGCGTTTTCATTCATCCTTTGCATTTCAGTGGGATTTTTCTACCCCTTTGCATTTCAGTGGGATTTTTCTACCCCGGTTGAGCTACAGCCTTGAATACCGACGTGTCCTCTGACCCCATTTCCGTTGCCGCCGTTCCGACGTTCCTCTGACCTCCTTCTCTTTGCTCCTGAGGGACTCGATCCACCTGCAGCTCTCGGCCTGCTGTGTGCCAGACAGTGTTGGGCGGCCAAGGCAAAAGCTCCCACGATATGTTGCAACACGCGTGGTGTTCCTCCGCGCTTGGCCAACGAGTTACCTGCAGCGAGTCCTTCAGCGCTTGCATGCAAAGACACGCCTGTCCTGGCCGGGCTGACCTTGGAGAGGAAGCTTTGCGCGGCCTGCAGTCGGGTCTGTCTGATTCCACAGCCCTGCGTAGGAGATGGAAGCAGAGGGGGCGAGGCAGACCCATTTAAGAGGGTCCCTTGACGTTTAAAAAGGCATCGGATTATTATTATTATGTTTCTTTGAAACCCCCGGGGAACTTCTGTCTGCCCACCAACACTAATGGGCCTCGCTCCACAGTTGAGCGTGTTTGGTGATTGCATTTTTGAGCCCAGACCCTCCTTTGCCAAAACAGTAGGCCTTCGGGGTTCTGTTAAGTATAGAAACTTTTGGCCAAATTAATCTTCGGTTCTAAAATTCTGCAGAACTGGTTTCGTTACGGTAAGCTTTTTGCTGTAGAAATGAGGGGAGTTGGATTACAGAAGCTCACAGCCACATACTGATTTCACTGGCACTTCATTGAGATATCGATACTCTGGGTTTTTTTTAACCAGAGTGGCTTACAGCATCATTCACCTGTCCTCTGTTTTATCCTTACAATAGCCTTGTGAGGTAGGTTAGGTTGAGATATTTATTTTATTTAATTTATACCCTACATGTCTCACCAGAGTGGATCTAAAGGGGCTTATCTTTCATTTTATCCTCACAACAGTCCTGTGAAGTAGGTTAAGGCTGAGAGTAGGTGACTGGCCCTAGGTCACCCAGCAGATTTATGTGGCAGAGTGGAAGGATTCAAACCTGGGTTTCCCAGTTCCTAATCTGACACTCTTCTGCTGCATCACACTGCTTCTCTTACTTGCAAGTCTGTGTGCTTTAGGACTGACCCCCCCCCCCCCACTTTGAGCTCTTTAACACTGATCAAGTAATATTACTTTAACAATGACCTCAAAGTCCTTTCACTAAAGCCACCTGTTAGGTGGGTGGGATGGATTGTGTTATGTTGAATGACATACACTGGCACATATTTAGATCGTTTAAGAGAGGTTCAGAAACACTGAAATTTCACATATTCTAAGGGCTATGCTTACCTCTGAAAACCCATTCTGGGGTGAAGAAGCTTCCCTTCATCCTTTTGGTTATTCATTTCTTAACTCTCTAATAGGTCCCTGCTTGTCAACTGTCGAATGCAAATTGCAAGGCTTTTGTGTGGAGACCAAAGTGTGTGTTATAAACAGCTTATAAAAATGTTTTCGTAATAGTGATAGTAAAGAATGAAAATATATTTATTCTGACTTTTCTCCATGGTTCTCTCTTCCTCTATTTTTGCCCTCACAATAACCTTGGAAGGTAGTTTAGGCTAAGAGTGAGTGACAGGCCCAAGGTCACCCAGCTGAGCTTCATGGCAGAATGGGGATTTGAACCTGGGTCTCCTATATCCCAGCCTGACACTCTAACCATTATACTATAGAAGAGAAGAAGAAAAAGAGATTCAGATTTATACCCCGCCCTTCACTACCCAAAGGAGTCTTAGAGCGACTTACAAACTCCTTTCCCCTCCCCTACCCTCCCCACCCCACCCCACCCCACAACAGACACCCTGTGAGGTTGGTGAGGCTGAGAGAGCTTTTCCGAGGACTGCTCGTGAGAGAACAGCTCTGAGAGAACTTGTGACTGACCCAAGGTCACACCAGCAGCTGCATGTGGAGGAATGGGGAATCAAACCTGGTTCTCCCAGATTAGAGTCTGCTGCACTCCTAACCACTACACCAAACTGGCTTCTCATATTAGATGATCACGTTACCTACCTATGCCACACTGAACTTCTTGGCGGAAGAGTGGGCTAAAAATGTGAGGAACGACCAGTCTTCATTAGTTAAAGCAAAGTACCATGTGTAGACTGAGGGCACAGAAAAAATATATTGCTTTATTTTTGTATACCCTGCCCTAGTCCAGTATTTCTGTGCCATTCTGAGAAGGGCTACAATAATATCTGTACCCTGGGTGATGACTTCTTTTAGTCTTCTGTGCAGAATAGGATGGAAGCTGCGGAATGGCCCTGATTCTGTCCTGTAGCCCTGTTTGTGGTTCCTTCTGCTCAGGTGTTAATCGTGGCATCTGTGCTTAAAGGTTGTCCATATATAGGCCCTATGAAGAGGCCAGCCATCATGTGCTAGTACTTGGCAGCTTCATTTGTGCTGCTGCTTCTGGTCTTCACAGGATTTTCCTAAATACTTGTATTTAGGAGGCCTGCACTCTTACCCCCCTCCCAGTGTCCATGTTAATGCAACTATACAAAACCCTGTTGGGCACAGTTCTCTTAATTTGTAGATATGATTTCTGAAGTTTCAACTTGCAGAAATCTGTATTGCAGAAAGAGTTGGAGGTAGATGGAACAAACGTCCTCTAATGGAGGCTTAATGGAATGTTCTTTATCTCCAGGCCACTAGCGGGCCATTTCCTTACATGAAGCCTCTGTTAAAGGAACAGGACATTTTCCTCCAGGGCTGTCGGCAACTGTGGTTGGAGGTGGTTTGTGGTTCTGTGTTAACTCCGTAAAGGACGCTGGCCGCCTTAGCAGAGTTTGAAGGCTGGGAGGTGCGTCTGCTTGAGGAGAGGTGACCAGCCGGTGCACTGGGCCTTCTGTTGTGCCGCCGCTGATCAAATCCCACATGTGACTTTCCAGGCAGGGGGAGCAAGCTGTTGGCCGGTCCTTTCTGTTATAGTATCTCATGTTGCCAGGAGCTGTTTGCAAAGTGACAGAGCCCCAGATATTTCTTACTGTTTCTGTTCCTCCTGGAGATGGTAATGGCAACAAGGACTAGCTTTTCATGTTTCTGTTTGATGGTCCACTCCCAAATCCAGCGCATTCTCATTTATTTTCGGTCAGGAGACCTTTTTAGGACCAGGAAGATGCAGGTTCAGATCCCTGGATTTCCTGGATGTTCTTGGGCCAGTCACTCTTTCTCAGCCGCAACCTACCTCACAGGGTTGTTGTGGCTAAAAAATGGAGGAGGGGTGAACCATGCATCCAAGCCCTGAAATCCTTTGAGGAAGGAAAGGATAAAAACGCAAATTTATTTGGCCCATTTGTTCCCACCTCAGTAAGTCCCATTGAACTACGTGTCTGATGCTTCGGAGCAGTGTTCCCTCTAAGCTGAGTTAGCGTGAGCTAGCTCACAGTTTTTTTAGCCTCCGGCTCACCCATTTTTGTCTTAGCTCAGGAAGGATGGCTCCAGAGCAACCTACTTTATGCAGTAGCCCAATCGCTCGCTGACAGCTTTAATGCCAATAGCTCACAAAGTAGAATTTTTGCTCACAAGATGACTCCGCAGCATTGCTTCTGAGTAAATCTTCTTCAGACCGCAGTGTGAGGAGTCTTCCTGATTAAGAATCTCCGAGCGCTGATACCTTTGTTAGCCACGTAGCAAAATATTAACGAATGGCTGCCTGATTTTGGTTTCTCTTTTGCAGCTGATGCAGATCTTATGGCACACTTTGCACAGCACTGTTTGTAAATGTTGAACTGTCTAATGCCAGCAGTGTACATACGGGTTGCCAGTTCCTAGCAGAAAATTGCCTGGCCTGATTTTCGGCCTCCAACAGCTACTTGTGCGTATGTGTAAAGTGCCATCAAGTCGCAGGCGACATATGGCAATCTGGTGGAGTTTGGAAAGCAAGAGGTGAGCAGAGGTGGTTTGCCATTGCCTACCTCTGCATAGTGATCTTGGTATTCCATGCAAAATACTAACCAGGGCCAGCCCTGCTTAGCTTCTGTGGCCTGATGACATCGGGCTAGCCCACACTATGAAGGAATCTGCAAATGAAACCTTACACACTGGGTGACGATGCGAAAATCGCTTGCTAATGTCTGCGCATCAGACTACTGTTAAGAGTTCCGGTCACAAGCTGGTTAAGGAATATTAAGAACCCTAAGTTTGACATTGAAGGTCAAAGAAGACGGGGACGGCAAAGGATGAGATGCTTAGACAGTGTCATAGATGCAACGAACATGAAGTTGAGCAAACTTCAGAGGATGGCGGAAGACCGGAAGGCCTGGCGTGATCTGGTCCATGGGGTCGTGAAGAGTCGGACTCGACTGTGCAACTGAACAACAAAGTTTGCATGCTGAGATCAGGGACTCAGCTGAATATAACTGGAATTGAAGCTTGGGTCCCTTGCTTTGGTCTGCTGCTACGTTATATTAATTAGCACTTTCAGTTCAGGGAGCTGCTTTAAACACATTAGAAGTGGGTGCATCTGTTTAAACGTGTTTAATGACACTGAAGTGATCAACAGCTTTATCCTTCTTAACTGCCAACAACACTTGCCCTAGGGTAGTTTAGTTGGCATTGTCTTCCCAGATAGCATCCCAACAATCTGGTGAGCTAGGGGAAGGGGGTGTGGCTCTGTGGTAGAACATTTTATTTCTTTATTTACAAGGTTTATACCCCACCTTTCTGCCCTTCCCAGTGCCTCCAAGACAACTAACAATTTAAAACGTAGATAATAAAATTACATTACAAAACCAATGAAATCACCCCCCCCAAACATACATGATTAAAACAATTTTTAAAAGTTAAAAAGAGAACTAAAATACCCACAAAATACTAAAAATGCATACAAAACATAAAAAGCATTGGTTACGGTGGAGGGGTCGTTGAGAAAAAGCCAAGCCA